AAAAAATATTGATCATTAAAGAGTTAAAGATGAAAGAGTTCTGGCCCCTCTCAGCCCCTAATTTGAGGAGTCGGCCCCTTTTTCTTGATATCAAACGAAAGGTCTTGTGATTTCAAAGACTTTTTGTTCTACACCTATTCAGAGATTTCTTTTCGTTTAGGAGATATGCTTTATATAAATATTTAGGGGCCACTCCTACAAGTCCTTAATGGGGCCGTTTTACAAAAATTCAAAGTATGCATATTGTTTAGCACATTAATCTAGCCATCTTTTGTTCAGTATTGCTTATCAAAATAAGCACCCTTTTCGAGATATGAAGCGTCAAAGATTTGACATTCTGGCCCCTTGTGACCCCTAATTACGTAACATATGATCAAAATTTTATCATATATTGTTGCAAATGGTTAATATGAACATCTTTGCTTCTGTAATGCATCAAAAAATATTGATCATTAAAGAGTTAAAGATGAAAGACTTCTGGCCCCTCTCAGCCCCTAATTTGAGGAGTTGGCCCCTTTTTCTTGATATCAAACGAAAGGTCTTGTGATTTCAAAGACTTTTTGTTCTACACCTATTCAGAGATTTCTTTTCGTTTAGGAGATATGCTTTATAAAAATATTTAGGGGCCACTCCTACAAGTCCTTAATGGGGCCGTTTTACAAAAATTCAAAGTATACATATTGTTCAGCACATTAATCTAGCCATCTTTTGTTCTATATTGCTTATCAAAATATTCACTCTTTTCGAGATATGAAGCGTCAAAGATTTGACATTCTGGCCCCTTGTGACCCCTAATTACGTAACATATGATCAAAATTGTATCATATATTGTTGCAAATAGTTAAGATAAATACTTTTACTTCAGTAATGTATAACAAAATATTGTTCATTAGAGAGTTATAGATAAAAGACTTTCGGCCTCTGTGAGCCCCTAATTTTAGGGGTCAGCCCCATTTTTTTGACATCAAATGAAACGCCTTGTGATTTTGCACATTTTTTCTTCAATATGCTTTAACAAATTATGAACGCGTATGAAGATATGAAACAAAATGTGTCAAATTTTGTGAGATATTTCTGAGACATTTTTTCGGGCCCTACCGAGCTCCGGCGCCTTTTGCGCTAGAAAGATTTGGAGACCCAATTACAACTCACCAAACCTTCCTTTACTTTCACTGAAAATCTTAAGTCGATATCTTTAGTCGTTTCGGAGGAGTTTCCTGGACAAGCCGACCCTCTGAAAATCAGAAAATCGACCATATCTCACGACCGGAAGTGAGATCATCAAAAAGCAAAAAAACCTATCAAGATCAATTGAATATCTTTCAGATCTGAAAGTTTGGTATAAATCGGACGAGCCATCTCTGAGAAATCGCTTGCACAAAATCGGTTGGAAGAAAAATAATAATAATAATAATAATAATTTGGAAAAAGAAACCGAACGAAAACAATAAGGTCTTCCGTTGGAAACGGAAGACCTTAATAACTAGATGCAATCTCGTTGCGAGCAACGAGTAGGTCTTCCGTCCGAATTTTCGATAAGATGAGATATGACTTTGACTACGATCTTTGATAAAACATCATGGAATCATGCCTTTTCTCTTTTGATTAAATCCTTTTGATTTAGATAATATCATCAATGCATACTTAATTTGCACATTAATTCTTTTCTTTTTTCTACTTTGAGAAACAACCAAACCCAATTAAAGAAGACTTGTAAGGAGACCTTGGATTATGAATGTAGTTTGACACAGAATTGCAACGAACCTACGACGTGACAATCCAAGTATCCCTACATATTTCATTGCTCCTTATGTTACTTTCAATCAAGCAAACGCTCGGCTGCCTCTGTTAAACGCTATTGCGAAATGTCGGAATTGACAGAGACCGCCGCCATTTCGTTCCCGCTTCAGATTTTTGAATGTTAATATCTCGAGTTTGAATTTATAAATTTACAAACGAATTATATATTCAGCCTAATAAGAAATGTTTCTATCAACTATACTCATATAATTTGAAAATATTGAAAAAACAAAAAAGTTAAAGACGAGAGACTTTTGGCCCCTCTATGCCCCTAATTTGAAGAACTAGCCCCGTTTACGTGATATCAAATGAAAGATCTTACTATATTGCACATTTTTTATTATATATGTCTTAACAAAATATTAACAGGTAAAAAGATATAAAAGAAAACGTGTCAATTTTTGCGAGATGAGTATGAGGCTATTTTTTGATCCCAGGCGAGTGTCGATGCCTTTTTACCTGGAAAGCTCTATATGCAAAATGTCACATCTACCATCCTTCCTCTACCTTCACTGAAAATCTCAAGTCGATATCTTAAGTCGTTTAGGAGGAGATCTCAGGACAAGCTGACCCTCTAAAAATCAGAAAATCGTCCATATCTCACGACCGGAAGTGACGACGTACTTACGAAAAATTTCCGACAAGGTTCAGATAAATATCTATCAGATCTGAAAATTTGGTGAGAATTGGTCCAGCCGTTTCTGAGAAATCGCGTGCACAAAATCGGTAAGAAAAATAATAATAATAGGGAAAAAGAAACCGAACGAAAACAATAAGGTCTTCCGTTGGAGACGAAAGACCTTAACTAGATGCGATCTCGTTGCAAGCAACGAGTAGGTCTTCCGTCCGATATCTGATGGAATAAGACCTGTGTTGGGATAATTCCACTGATAGGATAAAAAATGTCAAAAAGGCACAAGAATTCTTCAAAATATGTTCAGAAATACAAAAAAATGTACGATCTATCAATTCCAATCAACTTCCGGTTGTACTTCTTCACTTCCGGTGCGACCGTATGTGCTCAAAACTACTTTCAACTGTACATCAAGCATGCAGTAATCATCCCTGAAAGTTTCGATGGAAAATACTCATTTTTAGACAACTTCCGGTTTGAACAAACCGTACATCCGGTGGAAATATTAAGATGCTATGCATTCTTTAAATCTCTATTATGAACAATTACATTCATTAGGAAATGAAAAAAATCGCTATACATGTACAGTTAATTCTCGATAAACCGCCACCTTTTGTAATTTAGAAATCATGGCGGTATAACGAATTTGGCGATGAATTGAATTTTCCATCTTTTAGGAAATAAGAGGTAGAGTTATCGTTCTTAGAAATACCATTTAGCGTTTCTATTCTTATAATCACATGTACATGTATATATAAACATATTTCTAAATTTGAAAGTACTTCAAGTAATTTTTTTATGTACAATTTCGCTAAAACAAAGTATTCAATTATAAAATTAAGAGAAATATATGTGTATGTATGTAAATCTGCACGTCTGATATTGAAAAAAAAATGCTGGGTCGATCGTCGTGATATATTGCCTAAAGTACGTAAAATAAGTTCTTGATTAAATTCATTGTATATGAAATCATTGTTAATGAAACGCTCACAATTTCTGACTTATAATTATTTTTCAAACAATCCTTGCATTGTTTTTAAAAGCAGAGATCATCAAAATAATACGTTATCGGTTTACTTTACAATGACCGCTTTCGTGGTGAAGCCTTGACTAAATGATTTTATTAAACAGAAAACAAAATTATTCTAACAGTTCATGTTAAAATCATTGTTTACTTAATTGCATGTACCTTGACTGGCTTTGCAATTGCTTTACAACAGGGATAGCGTGAACCAATTAGACGCGCTTCACTGACCACATACACCTGTGGCGGTATTATCGAGATAATTGACACTTAAAAATGGACGTTTGTTGTGAAAACAGGGTGGCGGATGGCGGTATTCGAATTTGGCGTTATAAAGAGAATTTTATATAGCAGGAAAAACGTTCTTGGGAAATCATGGCGGTATTGCGAAAATGGCGATGAATCGAATGGCGATAATTCGAGAATTGACTGTACATGTATTTAAATTACATGTACTTCCAGTTTACAACGGAAGTGTCCACGGACAAAATGAACAAATTGAAAGTATGCATATTGTTGGGAACATTATTTTGACCATCTTTTGTTCAATACTGCTTATCAAAATATTCCCGCTTTTCGAGATATAAATCGTCAAAGATTTAGCATTCTAGCCCCCTGTGACCCTTTATTACTTAACATATGATCAAATTTTTAGCATATATTGTTGCAAATAGTTAAGTTGAATATCTTTGCTTCAGTAATGTATCACAAAATATTGATCATTAAAGAGTTAAAGACGAGAGACTTTTGGCCCCTCTATGCCCCTAATTTGAAGGGCTAACCCCATTTTCTTCATATCAAATGAAAGGTCTTACTTTATTGCACATTTTTTATTATATATGTCTTAACAAAATATTAACCAGTAAAAAGATATAAATGAAAACGTATCAATTTTTGCGAGATGCGTATGAGCCTATTTTTCGGGCCCAGGCGAGCGTCGATGCCTTTTTACCTGGAAAGCTCTATATGCAAAATGTCACATCTACTATCCTTCCTCTACCTTCACTGAAAATCTCAAGTCGATATCTTCAGTCATTTAGGAGGAGATCTCAGGACAAGCCGACCCTCTAAAAATCAGAAAATCGTCCATATCTCACGACCGGAAGTGACGTCATCAACGATGAAAATTTCCGACAAGGTTCAGATAAATATCTATCAGATCTGAAAGTTTGGTGAAAATCGGGCGAGCCGTTTCTGAGAAATCGCGTGCACAAAATCGGTAAGAAAAAAAATAATAATAATAGGGAAAAAGAAACTGAACGAAAACAATAAGGTCTTCCGTTGGAGACGGAAGACCTTAATAAAAGTGAAAAAGAAACAATACAATAATAGAAGGGTCTTCCGTTGGAGACGGAAGACCCTAATAATCTTAATCATCAGAATCAGTAGAAGGTCTTCCGTTGGAAACGGAAGACCTTAATAAAGATTGCATTATAAATAACAAAAAATTCAAAATACATCATATAATAATTTATGGTTTTGCAAGTTTTTAGCATGAGACTATCTGTACATTAAAAGAGACAATTAATGTGTGAATCACACCTTATTTTTCTCTGTCACTGGTATGGTGGCTCCACCTGGTTTGAGCTCCACTTCCTGCATGGCTCCAAACACATCCGTCTCCACCGAAAATGTAAGGTCAAGTCCAATGTTGTCAATGTTGTGATCCAGGATCCACTAAATACAGACAACAGATAAAATCAAGTGGATGACGAATTTGCCATAAATAATGGAATCATATCCTGGAAGCAGCATGTCTTCTTACCTGTAGATTCTTTGCATATTCTGGGTCTATAGAAGCTACATCAGTATAATTCACAGGAATACCTACAAGAGATAGCCATGGAGTATTGGTAACAAATTAATGTTCCATTTTAATTCTGCTTAATATCTGATACATTTTTAAGAAAGGGATATTGTTTTTACTTAACATAGTGAACTACAAATAAATATGGAAAACAAAATGAGCCCTTACCAAGTATGTGTTTGTAGAATGATCTTGTAAAGTAAACGTTTAGGAGATGTTGATGATATAGAGCCAGTCCAAGTGTCTGTCCTGCGAATCGGAAGTAGTTCAGATGATCGGGGTTAATGGCCGAGTTACTGTTGGGCTGGAACGTACAACCTACAAAGTATCATCACATAAGATTAATAATCAAAAAGAACTTCATTAATACCCCCAAATTTTTTTTCCCCCTAAAATTTTGATGAAATAAAACACAATACCATCAGCTGACTGAGTGAACAAGGCGTAGTCTGGATTGAGAACTTCTCGCGATAAAACGTCAAACCACTCTCGTACAACTCCTGACCCCTATAGAAGATATTCATTGAATTTAAGAGTTAGGAACCAAAAATTGCTACGTCTCAATGAAGATGAAATAAAACCTACTGTAATCGCTACATATACTGCCTTTTAACCTGTACATTTCGCTTTTGGATACGAAACATTTATATATTGCATTCTATGTTTTTCTTGAGTAGAGTTAAAACTGACCATTCCCTCTTCCCCCTGGAATCTGATAGCCAGACCTTTCTTCAGTTTGTCTGAGGGCTGTTTGATCAGGCTCTCACAGCTACTGTGAAACATCCTCTCTGGAAGAAATCAAAACAAAAATTAAAATCCTGGACTTGGACTTGCCTTTCCCTCTTACTTTACAGAGAAATGGTCAGTTTACAAACAAATAAGATTGACCAATTCAGAGAGTTTATTATAAGAAAGTGGGGGCTAGTGTACAGCTGATAGATTCCTATTCCTCACCTCTGCTTATCACAAGGACATCTTCATCACTTGGCGGAGAGTGAATGATCTCTCCTCTAGAACCCTCCCTGTCCAAATTATCATAGAACCAACGTCTCCTGGATTCAAATGGCTGGACAAATAAATGTACAATTTACTATGAATTCAAGTTTCTGTTTCATTTTATCTTAACATGTTGCCATTGGACCCCTGACAAATTATGTGGTATTTAATGTTTAGGCCTGCTTCTGAATCTCTAATTGAGAAGCACTAATCAACTTAAAGCTTTCATAAATAGTTACCTTAGATAATGTAAACAGAAAGGATTGACACCTCAGATGCACGTGTTACAAGTTGTATATCTTAATGTGACTGGTTGAGAGATAGGAAAAACAATCAAGAATTGTTATTTTTGTGATAGTCTTATCTTATAACCTAGAAAAGTGTATTTGAAACTTTGGCTTAAGTGATCTAATAATCATTGGGTGTAACTTACTCTAGACCTGATGATGTGTAGAAACTGAGACATCAACTCTGGACACTCCAGGAGAAAGTGGAAATGGTCAAAAATAATCTCAGGGTTCCTGAAAGAAGTTAACTTAGCCATAAATATATATAAGCTATAAATAGATTATATACATGTAGAATAAATACTATGCAAAACATATTATCCTACCTTCCCACAAGAAGTTTTAACTCTCTATTATGCTGACATACAAATTCTATAAATCTTGGAGATGTCATTCTGAAATTACAAGTAAAAGGATCAATTTGAAATGAACTTTTCCTATGTTCTACAATTCTATAAATTTAAAAAAATAAATGAATTAAAAATTTTTCCTGATCAGTCTCACTTACTGTGGGTGCCCATGTTGACAGGTACAGCAGATATAAAACGCATGAATGACCCCACAAATCCTGGGCAGAATGACTCCCACCACATCCTGATCCACACACAGACTTTGTAGGATCCCCTCCTGATCACAAGGTTTAGGATCCACCACTTTACTGCACTCAGTGATAACTTCACTCTGAGCGTCTGATTTCTCACTCTCAACATCCTGAGATTTTTGCCCTGAGTCTGAATTTTCTGATTGAGTTTTCCCTGATGTTGAATTTTTGTCTTCTTTTTTGAATTCCACTCTTAAAAGACACAGCCAGTCAGCAAGGAGCTGCCATAATGCCTCAAGTGGCTAGAAAGTAAATACAAACCAGTATTAAATCATAATTAGTTACATTTCAAAGAAAAAAGTACAAAAAAAAGTTGTAAGATTTCTTGGTAAACATCACTTACCCCAAACACTTCTATAGCTTTGGGTGACACCCGTGTGACTCCCTGCAGTCCTTTTGATTGGCTGGATGAAGACGAGGAGGAAGACGATTGGTAGATGTGGGAATATAATTTACATAATACTCTCACATTTCTTAATAGACATGATACCTGGGTTTCTATGTTGCTGGAAACACTGCAAAAATGAAGAATGCAGCTAGCAAAAGAGCTGTGTATGTTTTTCAATATAATAAATTTGTTGGCATTTTTCTTTAAAGAATCAATCTTTTCTTTCAACATTCAACAATGTATCATTTCATACATTGTGCAATTTACTATAGCCATGTATTTTAGGGAACAGCTTTCTATCAATGGATTTCACATTTATCTTCCTCTTTGAGAATTACCTGATTTACCTCAATAAATTGTGTTTAATCAGAAAATTACCTCAATAAATTTTGTCCAATCAGAAAAAATTACTTCTGAATCAATAAATTGTGACCAATCAGAGAATTACCTCAATAAGTTGTGTCCGATCACAGAAGCCTCTTCTGATAATCTGGTCAGTAATATATCAGCCATTCCATTACCACGAGAACTGACATGTATTAGAACCTTCAAATACTACAAAATAAATCAAAAATAAAAAAGTTCTGATGCCTTATATTAGTTGATTAGATCTAGCAAAGATTAAAAATGCTTACATCTGCCTCTTTTATCTTTTCACTTCTGACACTGGTGATGAGTTGCTCTATTAATTTTGGTAAATACTGTAGAAGGATGCTGCATGTCTCACTGAACCCACCCTGTAATAAAATGTTTCAAATTTCAATTATTATCAAATCTTTAGTTTATGTAATTCCAAAAAACACAATACACACCACATTCAACACTGAGTTGGGTATTTATTTTCCAAAATATTTTGTTTCTACTTGGATAACACAACACATTTCCCATCCCCAAAATATTTTCGATTTAGTGTTTTTCAATTCCAAAGTAATATCTATTTACTTACCGGTACTTATCCTCTCCGTGCCCCGGAGGACGCATGAGGCCGTTCAACAACGAACGCCACTTACGGCGGTCACTGGCAACAGCCTGCCCCTCTTTCCAACTGTTCCAGCCCAATATAATATTTACCTGTAAACAAAGATCCAGGGGAGTTTTCCCAAAATGATCTGCATTAAACCTAGCTCCTCGTCTCAACAGAATGTCTGCAGTGTTATGCTGACCATGACTGAAATTTGAATATTCTACTGAATCTCAGCAATATATAAACAAAATCATTGAAATTAAATTTATACAAATCTCTTTGCTAAAAATACCTGCAGGCAAAGTGTAGGGGGGTCCATCCATTATGATTTGGTCTGTTGGCATCTGCTCCATGGTCCAGGAGACAAATCACAGTCTGTATAAAAAGAAAGCTTTTCATTCAACAATTCCTTTACAAAAGTTAAGATATTTCATGTTTTAGTCTTTATCTACAGAGGACTTGATGGACATGCTATTTTTACTTCCTGACTTATTGACAGGCTATTTGTAATTCCTGACATGAGGGAGATACTATTTGTACTTACTGACTTGATAGACATATTATTTTTACTCACTGATTTGTGGCCATTCTGACAGGCTACATGTAATGCTGTTTGTCCTTGTGCATCCTACAATGGAAACGAACAATTGTTTACTCATACTCTTAAATACACTCCAGCTTCTGAATGATGTAATCTTTGGATCCTCTTTGAAGCCCTATCCTTGCCCAGTGAAATACGGCTGAACAAATCTCAGCATTCTATTGAAAATAGGTTGCTGTGGATTTCTTAAAAAGAAAATGCTTTCATGATTTAACCCTAAATTCATTACCAAATACTTCTTAATCATTTGCTTTGTTCAAAAAAATTTTGAATTTCCATTACTACTGGATGCTAAAAGCATCATACATGTTTGAAGACAGCACAATGGTTTTTGAAAAATTTATGGACAAAACAAGACTATATTAACAGTTGATCAGAGTGATCTAAAATGTTTCCCACTCTTTGTGTGTTACTTTTCAGTGTGAAGTAAAACAAAGAAAAAAAAATCAATTTTGATATATAGGGTAAAATATAGAAATGAGGTAAAGGAGAGAGGAATCCATCTCTAAAACACTGAGTGAGTTACCTCTACATCTACGTCAGGAACGTACGCAAACAGATCGTGTAAAACCTCTGTTCTACCATTGACAGCCAGCCAGTGTATCTGTAATATAATACATAAATAGCTAATATATCCTAATCAGCCAGTGTATCTGTAATATTGAAAATAATCACCACTGTTTGTGTGTTTTGTCAAACAAGTAAGAAGATATAAATCTATACTTGCATATCAATTTTTGATGATATGAGCACAAGTTACTTCCCTTACTATAGCCTTCCATAGTTAGAGACTTACAGCAGTCAACCCTTCATTGTTTCTGATGTTGACATCTGCTTTACATTCCAATAGCTTGTTAATACATCTCTTCTGTCTGTAATATAAGCAAAAAAACTAATAGATATATATTATCTTTTATCAAGTTCATTAGTTCAGAATTGTTTCACTTTGAGTCTTGTTTTCTCATAAAATTTAAGGACATCATTTAATCCTATAAATTATGAAGTTTTTTTGTATCAAGAAAATTTTTAAGAATTTGTTTTTATGTAGAAATGTGTTCACAATCCAATCCACAGTTAGTTTTCTTATCTAAAACATTTGACAACTAAAACTTCTTTTTGTTCCAGTGTGTCGGCTAATTATTACTGAGGTTGAGCTGTAGTCATACTTACCCATTTCTGGCAGCCAGATGTAGCGGTGTACACCCAGACATGTCCTGACAGTTGACATCCACCCCCTTCTTTATCAGGGTCACCAGACACTCATACGATCCAGTGCTGGAAAGGAGGGAATCACTTAGTACATGTACAAATAGTCAGGCACACGTAGATTAGGTTATAAAAAATGTGATTAAATGTAGGTCAGAGTCAGTTTATCAACACTGTTAATATATTGATATAAAAAAATCTTCACCTGTTTAACCAATTCAAAGTATAAAGGACTCCAGAATTAGACTAACTCGAAATCTAGTCCTTCTTGATTAATAACCCAATTCACACATGACACCAAAATAAAATGTACTGTACATCACATGACAGAACTTCTGGCACATGAAAAAATACAATTATGTCCTAACTTTAGGGCCGGGATGATATATATATATATAGGATCTCCCATGATTTGTAGTTGGATATGATTTTTATTGAACTCGTGTGTTTTTTTAAAATCCAACTCGTGTGTTTTTTCCTAATAAAAACATACAATGAGTTGGATAAAAATCATATCGAACTACAATTCATGGGAGATTCTTTTTATCCCACGTTTAATACTTCACATTGACAATTAATGTTTTATGCTGTTTAAATAGGACTCTACTTAATATTTCTTCATCATGTTAACACAAAAACCATTGTGATGTCACAACTGTGGGAGATAAACAAAAAAAAATCCATTGAAATGAGTAATATCCATGGGATAAACATGGAATAAACCGAGATATTGATAATTATATTAACTCTGTGCAAGGATGATATGTAACACACTTGTTAACTCTCAGACAGAAAATGCTCCTAAAAATTTCAAACTAAAATAAAATTACTTTTTTATTACAGTGTATTTCTTTGTATTACTTACTTTGCAGCAATGTGGAGCAGATTTCTACGGCTTCTTCCAGGAGCAAAGTTGACATCAAATTTGGAGTTTGACAAAAGTTCTGACACTGATCTGTCAAAAATAAAATGGTCAAGGTACAAACAGTTCCATTCCTTTAAATCAAATGTTGATTACGAAAATCTTCATCTTTTTTTGCTGTTTAGCTTACATTTTAAATTTGTATTGCTTGACCAAGCATACTACATACCTGTGTTGATTGCCAATGATCATGGACATAAGCATGTAAAATGCTGATTCTTGATCTAAATATAACAAACAGAAATAATTTAAGCATTTAAAACAAAATAGTCACTCATTATTTAACAAAAATATATTTAAATAATATGTATTTCATAGGGATGGGTATCGCTAAAAATTTCGTATCGCGATATATCATGATTTTCCCCCAAATTATCACGATAATATCATGATATTTTTACAAGCAATTTTTACAATGATTTTAAATGAATAGACATTATTTTTCTTACAAATATGCTCGAAAAACAGAATTTCTCTTTTTTGAAATTTTTATGTAAATAAAATTAATCATGTTTGGATGGTAAGATGCCATTCTTTTCACCTTTTAAAACACTTTTTAGACTCTCTGTAATTGCAATTTGAAAGATTGGAGAAATAAGTGAATAATTTCTGGACTTTATGATATGTACCTAAATACCGGTATTTAGGTCTCTGTATCATAATACATATCATGCAACAAAAAATCGTGATATACCAGTATACAGATAAAATTGCACATCCTTAGTATTTCAACATTTATTCAATAAATGACAGTGCAATATTTTAAATGACTGTTACAATGCTCTTTTTCCTAATTTATTAACCCACCATCTGCAAGCAGTTTGTTACAAAACAGTTCTTGTTAGGATTTTTTTTTCCTTAGACAAGAGTATTAATTTTATCGATACTGTTTGACCAATCAAAAGTATTACAAAGCTACAGTAAATGACCTGCTTTTTAACTTCAATTTTTATGAATACTTTTTGACAATAATGCAAGATGTGGTAACTAGTCATAAGGTAAGATTCAAGATCACATGAACCGGTAAGCAATTTACAATTGTAAACCTGGGTAGAGGGAAACAGTCAGTCTGTTGGACCGGAGTGCAAGCTGTTGAACTCCGGTTCAACTGTTTCCCAAGCTAGCTAGACTCCTGTCAACAACTGTTTTGTTATATTCCTTAGGCGAATGAAAAGACAACAGTCTGTTTTAACAGTTCATGTACCGACAGTTGGGAAAAACAGTCAAACTTTTGGACTATTTAAGTTATTAAGTAAGAATTATACACCTATAGGGACTGTTTAGTACTATTACGTAATAGCGAGCGCAAAAACAGTCAAACTTTTGTGCACATATTCTTTAGAATTTTTTGTTATGCATCACTTAGTAAAGTTGCGTTCTCGCGAATTATTTACTCGCCTTGATTAAATGGATACTTATTGAAGATAAATAGTAAATGTAACTGTTTTCATTAACTTTTAGCACTGTTTTTTCTTGGTATTGTAACTTACATACGACGTCATGTGACGTCAGTGTCACGTGCGGTTTGGCGAATAAAACAATAGTAGGGGTGTGTAACAATTCCAACTTTTGATTACAAGATAGACGAAAGGTTTGTGAAGATCGAGTGAAGAGGATCAATAACACCCACAAAGAATAATTTTTATATATAGCTCAGTGATGAAATCTGAAGTGCCTATAGCTGTAACTACACAAATACAGCTGACAAAAACTTGAAAAAGTTAAAAAATTTCCTGTATTCCTTTCTGTAAGCTTTGGCTATATATTATGTACCCTTTGGTAATTCTACAGTCCTTGCACTTCTTAAGGAGGCTGCCAAATCTTTGAGAAATTCCATTTTTCATCAGATTTTTCAACTACACAGTGTCTCTTCCTAGCTGTTCCAGTCTGTCATCATCATGTCCCAAAATGAAATATTGGCGCTCTTCTGTAGAGGAAATAATATTAGACCCAGAAGTGTAAAAAATTTAAAAATATTTGCAGCTGGATTAAAACGGTTTGGTTTTACAATAAAAATATTGTTTATTGGAACTATTACAGTGACTATGCGAAAATATTTCAGAAAAAATATTTTTAAATATATATTTTATATCAAATATTGAAAATATCAACTATCCTAAAATAAAAATTTCGACTATTTTTTTCTCAATTTTACAAAATGTTCCGAATATTTATTTTCGGTCCAATCACATATTTTTGTCTCAGTAAGTCAGTTTAAGTTTTTTGTGTTGTTTTTGGTAAGTTTCTTGTAATTATTTCGGCAGTTTTATGTCAGAATATTGGTATTTTATCAGGACATACTGTTCATTAACTTGAATGAAGTTGAATCTTAACATAATATAGACCTTAGAGACAAACAATTATGATATAGTTCGAATTTCCTTTATTATGGTTAGTGACGATGTATTAGATATGGCAAGAAATTCCACAGTAACTATTGTAGGGTGAGTTCACCATACATCGGACACATACCTTGCTTCGGACAACTTTAGGCATTAAACTCTCTTTCAACTTAAGAGTTCTGTGTAAATTTTATTTGTTTTTGTCGTAAAGATGAAGATTTAAATTTTTTAATGATATTGTGTTATATCATAAATAACTGATAAATATAAAACACAAATGGCCTTGAAGTTCACAACATATTTTAACATCATATATAGGGGAATAACCCAGAAATATATATGATTTTGCAACACAGAAAATAAATATAAATGTTCTTTTAGCACTTATGACTTCTAAAAATATAGTCTTTGGTGATATATTTGTAAAAATATTGGTAATTTTACATAAAAATATAAAGAAATTTCACTTAAAAATATATTTTTAATTCTATAAATTTATGAGCTGGTTTTTACTCACTTTTAAAGCAAATTTCAAAAAAGAAATAAACTTAAAACAGGACACAAAATAACAAATAAATAAATAAAAAGGAACTAAAAAGAAATTGAGAAAAACTGCAAGGTAAGACTACCATTTTCATACAGAACCACACTGACAGCTGTTTTCCAATTGTTAATTAAACTTTTAAATAAAAACATTTCTATATTTTTCAGTCAAAATACAAGTTATTGATATATGACGTAATCCATGTTTTGTAGTTGACTAATTTATTAGTTTTCCTAAAATTATATGAGTTTCTTAAAAATAAAGAAATCAGATAAATATACCGCATTCTAAAATTTTAAAGCATTTCTAAGGCAGAGCGATGTAATTTTTAAAGTTCTACATTTGTGCAACTATATCTGTCAATTAAATTTTAGATGAGGGTTTTTTCATTTTCTTGTATTATTTTCTGAAAATATACCCATATCAAGGATTTTAAAGCACTGTGATAAAGGAATACATATTTTTCCGTTTTCAATACCGATGTTTACCTATGCATGGTGAACAATGTCCGATCTTTTTTGCATGGTTTGAAATATGGTTATTAAATTTTAATTGGCTATCAAAAACACCAAGATTTTCTTCTTCACATTTTACATTAATAAAAGGCATAAAGTGTGTCCTAAATTGATATTTTAATCACAGTGCTAAATGTTGAGGTCCATTTTGATAATTTTCATTCGGTAGCGATATCGCTAGAACTTGTTGAAGTACAAGGGTATCCGATGCATGGTGAATTCACCCTAACCCATTTCAAACCACAGTTACCGTTGTGACCACTCTAACTATGAAATAAATGAGAATAAATGAGAAAGTGCTACTTGTGAATAGGGTAATGTAACCACAGGCACCTAAGTAATTTTGCAATACCCCCCCCCCTTCTTTTTAGTAATGAAAAAAAATGTAAGATGGTTAATATGCAGCGTAATCGGAGGAGGTTATTGGATGCTTTTCTGTTTCGCCTTATCTGATTGGTTAGATATTTAAACTGTATTACAATTAAACCAATCAGATAAGGTGAAACAGAAAAGCAGCTCCAAAACCTCCTCCAACGCTGCCAATGGAGAAAGTTTTATGTATCCGATTAATAAATCGTCCAATTACGGCATATTAACCATCAATGCTTTGGTTTAAGAGACTAGTAAAAGAACATCACCCAGACAAAGTGTTTGCAAAATTATGATAGGTAACACTGTTATTACCTTGGAATTCTGTCTCGAAGTGGGGAACCCCCCTTTGTTTACAAACTTTTGTTTCTTACCTTGTGTGTTTTTATTATACCGTATAGGGCCATTCTTTAAACGTGAGAAAAAGTACAATCTGCTTGCATATAACGACATATAGATGTGTTTGACGGGGAAATTTTATATTTTCGAGGTATTATACACTCTGACATTTTTTTTTCATTTAAAAAAAAAGGGAGGGGGGGGGGTATTATCCATACTTCAGGTGCCTATGTTGTAACTGGTTACAAATGAACATAGTTGAAAGTCAGGACTAATTTCTTGCCATATATGCGATGTATTGCAAAATGTATTTGACTTTACTTAGACATATATAACTTTGATTTATACATAATTTTAATGTAAAGGGAAAATCGCATTGGGACCCGGGCCCCAGGATCATTAAACAAACTTAGATTTAACTTTAAGTCAAATTTTCAATCACCCATAAAATATTCATGAATATTATGGAATTTTTTCAAAATTTGCAGATAACAACACTTCTCAAAAAAAAACTTGAAAAATAATTTTATTTTAATTGCATGGTCTGCTTGACTTCTGCAACATTTTATTATCAAATTGAGATTTTGACTTATGATGACTGGCAGTTCTCTGGCGGGTGAGAGTGATTGTCCTTAGAACTTAATTTGCACCGCAGGTGTTGGCCACAGGTACTCAGATTACTTTATATTGCAAAAATCCTCACATCTTGGAAGTAATTCCTAACGTGTGATTTTTAACACTTTCTGAGTTTTCAAACATTCGTTAATGTGCCCGGAACTATAAGCGCAAATATTAAAACCCGATTCAAAACCGACAAACTCCGGCCATTCAGAAACTCCAAAATTTTTTAGCCATTCTGAGAAAATTAAAAATAATTCCGAGATAATTCAACATGTTCAAGTTGTATTTAAATTTCTTACAAATTTTGCTGTTGAACGACACATCCGCTTATAAGTCCACATGGTGATATGGTATATGTGTATCGTGAGACCTTGCAATCAATACGATCAATGTATTACTGTATTGTTACACCTCTAAAGAGCATTTACACTGCTATCTGTAGTATCTACAGAGGGGTCATTTTTGTGTCACCTGCATAGCAGAACCATACTGAAACCATACTTAAACTAAAGATCACTTTGTCATGTTTGCACTGGTGTCTGTCTGTTCTCTTATATCTTGAAAATTGTTAGGACCAAAAGAAAATACCGGTATACTCTTTGTTTCCTAACTTGACCATAAAAAACAGGGTAAGTAGATAGGGGATAAATTTTTGAAAAAAATATTTTCAAAACTCAATGAATACGGAACACATATTACCCTATGTAATATAACAAGAAAACGGTATATTAACAGTTTACAAAGCAAGTTAATTTGTTAATGAAGATTTATAAAGTATAAAGGTATCCTATACACTTTAATGTATTTTCTAGATTCTTTGAAATGAATTTGGTTCAGAAATTTCAGAGACAACACACTTGCTGTTCTCAAACATGCAATAAGATAAATGGTCAACGTTTATTGTGGACTTTCTTGTATTCCAATGCCTCTGAGAATCATCGATCTGCCAAAATATTTAATAGTGTTGGTTGACTTAAATATTTGGGGAAAATATCCCACAGAAAATGCAAAAAAAAAACCTTTTAGGGTCTGATCATAGGGTAAAATGTAGGGATGGTGACAGGAAACAAGAATATATTTTTTTGGCGAAGGAGTAGGTTTTGATTATGTATTGCTAGAAAAAGTTTTGTTAAATACCAGAGCTACTATTCTCATGATCTTTGAACGTGATCTAAATTAACCTACTTTTTAAAATGAATCATAATTTTTGCTGATTTTCACATGTCCTTGACATTTGAGAGGTAGGCCTGTGTTAATTGGCAAGCACACTGCTAAATTGTCTTAAGATGTTGAAAAATATGAACATTTCAGTTCACTTGAACTTGACAACTGACTTTAATTTCAAAATGATTCTGAACTTTAAATTTAACTTGTGTGCTTTTTTTAGTGAATTTTTAGAGGTTGGACTTTGATAACTAGCATCATATATTATTTTGACACAATATACCAACTTGCCGAACTTGGCTTCATGAAACTGTGAAAATAAATTAGCTAATTTTACTCAATAGATTTTACATTGTAAAATTGAGTACTGGATAGATAAGATGAAAAAAAAATTTTGCATTGAAATGATTTGTCAGGTAATTTTCAAGATAGACATACCTCATAAAATGGTTAAAACCAAAAGGATTTGATTTATTTTAGAAAGGAAACATTTTGATGTATCAGATTCAGAGTTGTCTTTCTTCTTTTTGTACATCCTGAAATTTTGCTTTCATAATTATTCATTTATCATGTATTCACCTTGACCTTGATGTAGGGGGAGGGCTGAAATAGACTGAGCCTGCTGCCTAATCCTATCTTTGAATAAATTATTGTTTAAATTAATCTTTCTTGGAGAACTATTAAAAGAAGTGACACATCTTGATTGTTTAGATAGATGCTCTCAATCTCCCCCACAAAAGAAAGAAACTGCAGAGAGAGAAAAAGAGAGAGATTCAGATGTAAATAAAAGTGAGGAGTAAGAAACATTATAGTTTTCTTCTGTCTTTAACTCAGATAAATACATGTATTAATATTAGGAGGGAATCTCAATCATAATCATACTTGTCTAGAATATAGAAGAAAATGGATATGTTAATTCTCAGTTGAGAGCACAAAATTGATCTTGTAAGAAATATATACTGCATAATTAATTTGGGAACCCATGACTTACTTATATAGTAATGTCCTTTATAATAAGTTATAACTATGCATATTTGAGATATTTAAGGTGGACTATTTGCTCTAAATAGAACACTATAAAGTAATCCAACCACACCACAAGAATTTAACAGCAATACATTTATTTATCAGAAGGAAAATGGGTAAACAATAAGACAAAAGCCCCCAAACAGTTCTGTGAAATGATGCCCTCATTTTGTGTAGGTGATTCGTGCTTTTCAGAATTCACAAGTCATCGTGAGGGCTTTAGTTTTGTGTATTGATTGGGAACAAATTACGATTTACTTGTGAAAGTGCGATCTGAAAAAGAGTGTTCCAGAGGAGATGATTAGTCTTGTAATGTCAATAACTGCAAATGTTGTTATGTAAATGACAGTGTTAATGCTTTACAGACCGACTATTGACCAGGATATCTGATGACGTCAATGGCAGAGTGATGTCCCCTGTCTGAGATTTGTGTGTATTGATTAGCTCCATTAGAGTTAGTGACATTTCTTACATCTATTGATTCCTGACCTTACATTTAGCTGAATATTTGATCATCAAACAAAAGCTTGATTGAACATGAAAGACAGAATTGTTGAAAACCCTATAGATGTTGTTTATGTAATTTTGCTACTTGGGCTATTGAGCATGTTGAGTAATTGCTATTTTAATAAATCATAGGAAGTCATTGCACTATATGTACATATGGGTGCCTAATTGCTTATTATATCTTAACAGTTTTGCAATCCCATTAGTAAATGTACAAACAACAAAAATTTCATATGTAACTAAAATGCAAAAGAAAAAAAATCTTCAAATCATTCAAAACAGTTGACTTTCAGTAAAAATACAGTGACAAGCAGTCAAGTTCAGCAAAGATGTTTTGCTATTCTGTAGGTCGTGTGATCTAGCTCTCTGTTGAGTTTATGTGAAGGTTTTATTTTTAGCTTTCTACAGTAAGCATACCAACAACTCTAAAATGGTTGAAGATTTTCTTCACAAAAAAATGAAAAAATCAAAAATATGGCTTTGTACACTGCAATTGCCATTCTGGTTTGCTTTTGTTTTGAGTTAATCAAAAGCTTGAAATCTCGTGCAAATTCTGATCAGTTTTTGAGGCCCTTTATATGTCTTTTGTCATAAAGAGATGTGAAACTCTAGTCCAGGACCAAAGACAAACAAATTTGATGCAAAGTACATGTATACATTTGTTCCTCATTCATCCGGACACCTCCGTCTCCAACGAAATCATCCAGATCAATGAATCGTCCAGATAAGTGAATCATTTCTAAACAGAAGTTCCATCTCAAAGCATGTACATATTCATAATGTTCAAATGACTAACTGGGTATATTCAAATCGCCTTTAAAAAAATCTGCATTCATATATTTAATTTTATTAGGTCTTTGGTTCATTGGTCATGCAAGCTTAAAAGTTTGTATTTTTTTCAGTTTAACAGAGATAAACTGGTATTTTTTGCTTATTTTAATATTATTTTTTGCCCATCAACAAGTACATTTGTACTATCTATCCACCATGGGTTAAACTTGTTTTACTTCACCCCCTTTAGAATTTATGTCTGTTTCTCTTGATTTGGAATTGTTTCTGAAGATAATCTATATCCCGAGCCTAGTGGACTATACTTAATTATACCACTTTTACTTTATAGAAAATAAAGCCAGTAAGCACGATTCTAAGCTCATGTTTTTACTTTTCCTTAGTATAGAATAACCCATATAAGTAACTAAAGTAAGTAGGGTTATTAAACTGGTAAGTTGAAAAACATACACAAAAGGAAAAGCAAAGATTTAAAGTTTTATCTCAGCTCATATGTTGGTATACATATACTCCCACAACTTTAAATTTATTTAAAGTCCAGCCATGTCCTGTGCCTTTCAGGTGTTTGTATACATGGCTGATCACCTGTGAATGGTTTAACCAAGCATTAATTGTCGTCGTTTTTAGAAATACGTCACCAGATCCTGATGAGATTTCTAAATATGAGGTTTCCAAATTACACGTCTATATGTCATGCCTGATCTGAGGGGATCTTATGTATGTTATTTGTTTTCCTGTGGTATTTTACCCAGACGTTCGGTATAATCATCGTAGCATTAGTAATAAGAAATAAGGATATCCTGTTTGACTTTTTTTTTTCAGATGAAAACGAAAGTCTCACAGTAATAGTGGATGGTGCCCGGGACATCACTGGCTGGAGCTGGACTTCACTGTAACCTAAAACCTCAAGGTAATTTATTCATACATGGTATTGATGAGAGATATTTTTTTTTTTGGAAAAAGCTGTATTTATAGAAAGGCAGAGTTGTCCTGTAGACCGAGGGGCTAGGGAATTTTGGATGGTTCCCGGAACAATTTACTGGCTGAATCTGGAATACACTATAACTGAAACCCTAAGGTAATTTACCAGTAGTGATACAGTGTATATGATAAGTGATATCTTTTGGAAAAGGCTGTATTAGAAAGGAGACCCTCATAGCTTTCTATATATTACTTACATTTTATTGATTTTAAGCATGTCAGTCCCAAAACTTTGATGCTCATGATTTTGTTAAGGTTTTGTAGGCCGAGAACAAAAACATTCATACATGTACTACAATAGGTTAGATACAACAATTAAACTTGGTTATAACGAAGTCCTTGGGACTTGTGAATAATTCTTTTTTTTTATCCATAGTTTGTTAAATCAGATGAATATCTCCAGAGACAGGTGTCAGGGAATTTCCCTGCCCATAGTGATGTGATTCCCCGATTATTCTGGCATTCCCCCTTAACCCCTTAGGGAAACAACCTCAGCTCCCTTTTACTTTCTTAATACCTCCCGCTATTCCAATTCTAGGGGACAACTTTGTGTCATATATTATATGATGAATTTGTTATTGAAAGTGTATACAGTGGAGCCTCATTTATCCGGATGCTTTGGTTCCTTGTCAATTTGTCTGGATATGTGAAGTGTCCGGATATCTAAATTACTAGTTAAACAAGACAAAATAACTGTTAAAAAATCCGTTCTGATGAAAAGTCGTCCGGATACTGAAGCATCCAGATATCTGGCGTCTGAATATCTGAAGGTCCACTGTATTGATAAATCGCAATATGCATGTCTTCCTTCAAGTCTGACTACATATTTCATTCTTAATGATGGTTAAATTAAACTAAAATGTTAGGTACCATGCATTTACCTATAAAGATTTTATTTATCAACTTCTGTTAATAAGCTAGGTAATAAAAAAAGTAAATTAATTAAATTCTCCCCTCCTTTATTATTACACAAATGAGTGCAAGCGTGCATGTACAGAAGACCCCTAAGGGTTATTAATTAACCTGCTCTGTAAGTTTGAGTCTGTTTTCTTCTTGATACATATCAGATTGTGTATTGATTTTTTTCTGACATTATGTAACAATCATCGAGACATCTCTGCATCGATCAGCTTCATAAAGTCTTTATGAGATTCTCTGCTATTGACTGGATGAACTCTGAAAATCTGTCATATTTAACAAGAACTGTAATATCCTAGGGTGATTGTCTGGGGCCGCATCTTAATGTTTTGTCTGAGTATACTTCGGAGACAGCATTATCAAAGCCTTATAGCTAGATACGAAGTTCCACAACAGCACAAGATGAAAATTAAAATTCCCTTGTCCCTAGAAAATGAAGAGAAATAGATTTAATTTAAAGTCAAATCAGAAAAAGAAAGATATGGTTCTCCAGGGAAAGAGCAGAATAATAAGAATTTTAGTTAATCCTGTATTTTTTTTTAATTACAGATTTTTATCCTTCTTCCTGAAACAGAAACCAGAAACTAGAAGCTTTTCGATTGGTTGAGCAGAGCCGTCACCATGACGACTAGCTGACTTTAGGTGAGGGGGTGGTGTTTACAATTTACTACATGTATAATTTACGATACTCCTTTTGATTTTATGGAAGTAAAAAATGTTATTGTTTCTTTTTGATGAAAACATCATGACCCTGAGATGTTTGTCAGTGTAAGAACAGAATTAATGTAGCAATTTTACTGGCATATAAGTGGTTTTTAGCTCACCTGAGCTGAAAGCTCAAGTGAGTTTTTCTGATCACAATTTGTCTGTAGTCCATCTGTCCGTCCGTCTGTCTGTAAACTTTTCACATTTTCGACTTCTTTTCAAGAACCACTGGGCCAATTTTAACGAAACTTGCCACAAAGCATCCTTGGGTAAAGGAGATTCAAGTTTGTTCAAATGAAGGGCCAAGCCCTCTTCCAAGGGGAGATAATTATAAATTAATGAAAAATTAATGGTATCATTTAAAAATCTTCTTCTCCAGAACCACTGGGCCAGGAAAGATGAAACTCACTCATGTGGAAGCATCCTCAGGTATTGTAGATTCAAGTTTATTCAAATCATGATCCCCAGGTGTAGGGCGGGGCCACAATGACCGACCAAAATATTACATAGAAATATATAGGAAAATTCTTTAAAAATCTTTTTCTCAAGAATAGCAAAGTCATAATAGATCATATTTACATGAAATCATCCTAAGATTGTGTAGATTTAAATTGTTCAAATCATGAGCCCCGGGGGTAGGGCGGGGCCAAAATGGCCAACCAAAGTTTTACATAGAAATATATAGGAAAATTCTTTAAAAATCTTCTTCTCAAGAGTGACAAAGCCGTAATTGATCATATTTATATGGAAGCATCCTCAGGTAGTGTAGATTCATGTTTGTTCAAATCATGACCCCAGGGGGTAGGGTGGGGCCACAATGGCCGACCAAAGTTTTACATTAGATATTTATATAGGAAAATTCTTTAAAAATCTTCTTCTCAAGAATAGCAAAACCATGATTGGTCATAGGACTACTTTTTGATTTAAACTTTTCAATAATAAACCAATTTCTACTTTTTCCTAGCCACAGTGCTCAGGTGAGGGATGTGGCCCATGGGCCTCTTGTTGAGGTAGTGAATTTATCGAGGAAAGGTTGAAAGACTTTTAAGAGATGACAAATACAATAAGAGTAACTGAGGTATTACACAGGTATCATCAATAATTCAATATCAATAAAAATACATGTACCTTTAAACTTTATTTGAAACAAAATGAAACTCTTTTCCCAATGCACAAGTAGTTATTAGGTTGTTTTTCTCAAATATCAATATGGTAGTGGTTGTTGAAGTGTCCAAAGTTGGTTTAGAATCCTATGTAATGTGTACACATATTATTGGAATCAGTATCCCAAACAACCCGAAAAACAAATATCTGTGAAAACATGTTTTTTTCTTAAATCATCTAAAAATATATCTCCTATTAAACAAAATCAATTTAATTAATTAAAAACATTTTATTCATTGTTTAATTCTAATTTTTTTTTTCACAAAATCTATAACAATGGCTATATATAAGCAAATTAAGGGCCTCTTTTGTCTTCAATTTTACATGAAATGATAGCAATCTCAAAACACCCAAGGGGAGGTAAATTCGCTGTGGATTTTTCAAAATGTTGAACTGCCATTGAATAACCATTAGATCTACTAATGAAAATCTACTCAAAATAGATTACCAAATCATCTACACCAATCAGAGTTCAAATTATGATATTTTACTGCCAAGAACCTCAGCACAAATAAAGATTGTTTAAAATCAAAATCTTTTTTGATCAATAACTTACTTATGGATAAATTTTCTGTGTTTCCCCATTTAGATCCTTGTTGCAAAAACATAGAGTACAATTCAGTTTATCTTAAGCTTTGATCTTCGTAAACAAATATTTGACATATATATTGTACTAGATAGAAAACAAACTACGTAGTTTAGACATTTGTATAATCTTGGTGTGTTTTCAAGCACTAAGTATAATTACAGTAAAATTCATCAATAATTATGAATAAAATTAATGAGTCTACAGAACATTAAACAAGAATTAGTTTTTTTGCAATTACTTTTTTATGGCTTGGAAAATCAATTCTTATTTTGAAACAGAAAAAAATTAATTAATAGTGTGACATGTACGCATTATACAGTTCCATATTAAGAATTACCTCTAAACTGATGTTTATTTATTGCTAACAAGAGCAGACTTCATGTTTATCATCAATCAAAATTGTAAATCCAAAGTTAACAAATTAACACAGAATGAAACTCAGACAATAACAAGTCATTAAATGATAATTCAAATACTCTACATTTCAAAACAATAGACAAAATGACATAATACTTTCACAAACAATATGCCATTATATCATGCTGATAATGAACGTTAATATAATTTGATAATACACGAAAAAGGTTAACTGATTATTGTCATGAAAAATTAATCTTCATTTATCACATATATTGTACGTTAGTATGGTTTTTAGCTCACCTGAAAAATTAATCTTCATTTATCACATATATTGTTAATATGGGTTTTAGCTCACCTGAGCTATGCTTATAAGTGAGCTTTTCTCATTTCTTGTCTATCTGTAAAGTTTCTTAATTTTATGATTTTTCTTTTACAACATTGATGCAGAGCATATGTTTGTAAAAGGGAATTTAAAATTGTTCAAACAAATGACCTTGCACCTGTGTGTGTGTATGTGTGTGTGTGGGGGGGGGGGGTGTCTTTGTCCTAGAACCTCCTTCCAAGAGGAGATAGAAGGAGAAAAGCAAGCCCAACTGGGATGGGTTCATTAAAAATCTTGTCATCAAATACATGTAAATATTAGGCTAAAAAAAATGAAACTTCCATAAAAGCTTTAAAGCATACTTACAGTAGTGTAAATAATAACTATTATTAATCAGCAGATCCTTCAGATGAGTTTTCTTTGAGTTGGTAACACCATCACGGTAGCTAAAACCAAGGCTAGTGTCATTACAAGCATTGACACAAAAAAGATACCTCACTGCTCATGATCAGTGCAGAGTATAGGTAAAAATTTGTAGTCCTTCGCCGGTATATGGTGATGTCTCTATATGAGTGAAGAATTCTCATAGGGACATAAAACAACATACAATCAATCCTTCTGATGTCATTTTCAACTGCTACCCTCAAAACTTGCATTTTATCTATATAAAATATGATAAAAGATACCTGATTAAAAAGATAAAAGGATTCAGGATGATTTGATAGGATTATAATGATCATAGAAACTTAGAAAGAGGATGCTATTTTTTCATTAGCAAAGAAACAAGAGAAGCTTATAAATTATGTATGCCTAACTAAGGGGTAAATATTCCTATAGGCAGAGTTGCAGCATATGATACTGAAATGATCATTACCCTATCAGCTTCTTGTCTCAAGCATTTCATGGGATATTCAAGTTCTCAGATATGTTACTCATAAATTTAGGGTATTTTCTCCAAACTGTTTCATTTAAGCAAAGATTATACATTTGAATTTTTCGTGTATCATGCAGGGCCAGATTTAAATTTTGATCATGGTATAGAGCTATGGGGAATGATTCAACTGGTATAGAACAGATGGGGAATGTTCTTTTTGTTGAATCATTTCAGTTGCTATATCCTTGTTTCTGCTGCAGGGCATACACTTTACCCCATGTTGCGTCAGTGTTGCTATAGCGAGACTATTGAAGGTTTTAAGATCAAGTGAAGAAACTATAACTTTATGTTACTATCAAAAACACAATAAATAAATTTCCTTCATAAAACGAAATGGATTTTACAAACTTTTGTGTTTTTGTTTCAGCATAAATGATTATGACAGCTATAACTTTTTTTATTGAGAGATCTATTTAATGTCCATTTCAGACAAGTGGTATATTGAATTAGTATTGATTTTGATAATCATGGTTAATTACATACTTTATGTCCCTTCCCTGGGGGAGAATCCTATTGATTTTTCCATTTTCTGTAGAGGTAGTACAGGTGTTGGTACTAGTTTTCTGTTGCATAGTCAGGTCACACTATATGGCCTATAATTCTCTATTTGGCCTAGCCTCTCATTATCAGTTACAATAAACTGTGAGCCTCTCTCTGGCCTGTATAAATATTTATTGCCAATTGAAAGAGGATATAATAACAATATTGCATGATGGCATGCCTTGTTTCCTTTTGGAATAGCTAGGGAATTGAAGGTTGTATTTCAACAGAAAAACCAACTATGTTAGTATTGATTATGTAACTTTAGACCAGTTTAATTCATTTTTTTAATACCCATAGATTTTCATTTTTCTTTGGAAGGGGTATTCATTCAAGGAGCATGTTGATACCACTTGATTATACAGTCTTTATTAAATAAACACTAACTAATAGCTTGTAGATTATTTAACTTTTGATTTCGAGCCTATAGCTTCCTCATTTATGCAAATGGCTATTTTGCTGATATAAATGAAACAGTAAAATGTCAGAATATATCACACTTTTAATTCTTTGAGTGATAAGCTTAAACATTATCATAGTTATAATATATATTTTTTGTATTTTATATAGAAAAAAAATGAATGAACAAGTGAAGTATACGGCTATCACTGAAAAAATTCAAATTTAAGTAAAAGATAAAAAAAAAAAGAAGATATATACCGATCCAAAAATTTTTTTTTTACAGATATGAAGGTAAATTGTGTGCTATGTCACTGTATAAAGCTTTTACTTTCTCAGATTTTAGCCAAAGTAAAGGGATTTAAATTTTATGGTAAAACAGTTGTTGGAATAATAAAATTCTCCTTAGATGGCAAGTTTAATTGTTCCATTGTGTCCTGAACTTACATGAAAACTAAATATAACCCTTATAATGGAAAACTGTCATGTAGGAAATTGTCAATACTTCAAGTTACCCATAATGCAACTGTGAAATATTGATCCCACAGTTCTGTGCTGCTTATTGATTCAGAACTCTTTGGAGGCTGTGTAAACTGTGTGGTGATGAAGACATAGAGAGAATTGTTATG